TCCCCAGCAAGGATAACAACATCCGACTTTTAGCATTAGTCAAAAGCTGATGTAGATCCCGGTAGAATTCGTCCTTGACCGAGTCGCAGTCAGCTGGAGCCTACACGGAGATCACAAATAAGTTGCGTCTCTCTTCCTCGCGCTTGTTGATTCTGCATGAACCCCGAAGCCGAAGTGCACACCGTCGGTTGTTAATAGGGAACCAGTCCAGTAGTGCCGCCTCGGCCTTGCCACTTAGTGCTATACCTACACCAGCCAAACCCGCTGAGGCTGCTTCTGAATCTCTAGAAAGACGCAGGTGATATCTGGCTTCGTGGTCACTGGGGAATGTCAATGTAAGCAACGCTGGGATCTTGCAACCATCATCATCATCATCAACAGCAGTACATCAGCCATTTGAACTGATGCTTCGCTGCCATACAACCATGAGGACCTATGAAATAATGAATAAGAGGGAGAGAAGGGGGACTTACCTGAAAACCTTAATGCCCTAAGCAAACATTCAGGGTCAAGGCGCCTACACCTTGTGTAGACAACATACCGTCACAAACAGCTGGCTATCGTGCAAAGATAAGGCGGCATCGGCGAGACAGCTTCCTTGCGGCTTTCACTGCCACGTGTCATAATCAGCCATTACACCGCAGATAACTCAGCACCAAACACACTTTAAACAGACAATCCGATTAGGAGACGGCAGCAGACGCGCCACTGGTGTCGAATGCGAGCCATGTCCTGTAAAGTCTCGAGCCAAGCACAAGGTGAGTCACGTGGACTCCAACCCGGAAGGCGAGACGAACCAACGGCACCCAGTTTGGTCGTCAGTGACTTCATTTCCCGCTGCCAAGTCAACTTCTGTCCACCTCGAGCCTTGCGCCATCCGACACCTGGTAGACTGAACAAGGCCCTCCTAGGTAAGCGGTGACCAGGCATGCGTAGCACGTGCCCGAGCCAACGTAACTTATTCAGTGCTATCTGTTGTTCTAGGGAGCTAGCATGATCATCACCACCTAGTACTCGCCTACGCACATCATCGTTGCGGACACGCTGGTGCCATCCGACACCAGCAATGCTTCGCAGACAACGATGATCAAAGACTTGAAGGCGCCTCAGATCTTCAGACCGAAGGGGCCAAGTTTCACTACCATAGAGCAGAACGGCCCTCACTGTGGCCTTGTATACACGGCCTTTCAGACGGAGGGAAACTCCCTTCTGTCGCCAAAGATGACGCAGGTTCAAGAAGGCAGCTCTGGCCTTTGCAATGCGTGAGCTAACGTCAGTTTCTATGCGTCCATCATTGCTGATGCAGCTGCCAAGATAAGTGAATTGATCAACCACATCGAGTTCCTCGTTAGCAAGCGTCAAGGGGTCATCGAGTGGCTGGTGGTCCTGCAGCAACACTTTGCACTTTGAAGGTGCGAAGTGCATACCAAATAATGGGACCACTCTGGATAGGCTATTCAGGGTTGATTGATTGATTGATCTTGCAACCGGGTTTCCTGAAAGTCAGCAGACATCAATATCTAGGGACTCTAGGGTGCGCACTAGACCGACTTGCTGTCCAATCTGCATGAGTGTCCAAACGTTGAAGCACGCCAGACGGAACGAGGATCAGGGACAGAGGAGAGCCATAGACTGAACTCTTTGGTCCGTGGCGCAACAGGAATCGCAGCCAGATTGTTGAACACATGAATCGGGTAACAGAAAGTGAGGATTGTTAGCAAACAAACAATTGGCGTGTGATTAAGTCGCATGATTGTGAGGAGCAGAAACAGTAGCTGATGAGCCCGTTGTAGTACAGTTCATATTTTGTGAGAAAGCGAGATACTACCCGGTTGCCCAAGCCGAAATAGGGAGTTAACTTAGGGGATGTTACTCTGAGCCTTTGACTAAATAACCTACCCGCAAGGCAGCGGGGTGAATTTAGGGAATCGCGCCCATTGGGAGGCGATGACTGAATGTTCAGTTCATGCGTCTGTTTGGTAGATCACCAAACAGGGGCCCAATACTCCCCATGAAATCAGCACAATTGCTGGAATACAATGCCCCACCGAGGTGGAACATTGTCGACGAACACTGCTGGAACGGGGTACACCCGAACCACCCAGCTGGTAGAGTGCAACTCCATCACGACGGTCGCAGGGACGATGCGACCTCAGCAGTGCGTATCCAAGTAAAAATATTTCACTACCCATGAAGTCCGCAGACAGCCATGTTTCAGAGAAAGCGAGGACATCTGGAAGACAGTGGTCCACAAGAGCGCCAACTTCGCACTTGTTACGCAGGCTACGCACGTTACTAAGCACTATATTAAGGGTTTTGGTATGGTGAATGCTGGATCGTGCGCCACCAGAATGGGGACTGGCAAGACGGAGGTGGACTGCCGGCGCACCATCCGAAAACCCACCAAGCGCAAACCGCTTTCCTTCGTTGCGCGACGTGCCTTAAGGTCTTGAATGGCTGCCTGTAATTTCTCGCTGTTCGCTAGAAGGTCCGGCTGTATGCTGATTCTAGAACCTTTTAGTTTAAAAGCAAACCGCATAAGTGCTTGTCGCTCCTCTGGTGTGGAAAGGACCGCTCGCAGTAATCGAGGCCTTGGGGTGGGACTACTGACAAGTACGCCTCCAAGCCTGGTTAGCTTACGCAGTCACTAGGGAATACAGAAGGTAGGAGTTTAGTAACGAGAATTTTAAACCATTCAACATCATGTAACATCTTTTCTTGTAGAGATGCGTCAGAGGATACAATGACATTTCTAAAGATTACACTACTATTGATGTACATATCTCCTCGAGGTGGAGTGTTCATACCGCGTTACAGAATTACTGGGTGGGGACATGTACAACTTATCCCCTACCGATTTAGAAGCATTTGTTACGCCAAACGGAGCTTTTGGAGCTATCGGAACGGCAATAGGACACTGTTCCGATGGCTTTGTACTCAGGGAACTTGCCGTACACGCTGCGGCCCCATTGGCTTCTACCTTAGGTGAGGTTACTTCCTTGGTAGTCTTCCTTCGCTTCATTTTGACGGGCGTATGAGCGTGTAACTCTTTCTCATCAGGTGCTGAGTTGAAGACACCGTCTGAGGGATTACCGTTAAGAGAAGACGCGCTCACCAAAGTCGGTAAGATCGTCAAGATGCTCGAGTCCGAGGGGTCATACAAACCATCGATATTGCGCAGGCCAGGCACCCATACGTTTTCAAGGTTGGCTACAATCCCCGTCACTTTCCGGTCCAGGTCATGCCCCAAAGAAAGCAGGTTTTCCATGCTTTCTAACCTGGAAACAAGTGCCGAAAACCTTGCATGCAAAAGCGAAGCACATCGAGTTCTGTGTTTGCAACAAGTGGGACAACTAAAAGCACACTTCACTATTCGCCGTCACAGTATACTGCTCTGTACTCAAACCAGCGCATAATTCGTAAAACCAACGGCATTCCATCAGTAGAGTTGGTCACTGGTTCTAAGCATCTCAATTTGCCGCATCGTGCCTCCAAGTCAGATGGTTGTAGACGGGAAGGCGAGTTAGGACAGAGTTCTTTAGCCATCACGACAGGAAATGAAGGCAAGAAATCAAAGGAAAGTAAAATGCGAACCGGTTTGCAGAGGCCCACTACACAAAAAACGAAGGACTCAATCGGATCTTACCAGACGTGATTCGTTCGTACGGAGTTAGACTCAGGAAAGAAACAGGTTGGAGTCCACAAGGCAAATTACTGGCCAAAGGTGATGTGGGATCAGCAGTGCTCCGGGAATAATAATATAATAATAATGTGCCAGCTGTACGCCGTAACGGCGCTTCGCTGCCGCGCGACCACCACAAGTCGCGCGCGGGCTGAGAATACCGCGAGGACGCCCACCCCTACGCGGATTCGAGCCGGTGACCTTATGGTTTCAAAGCAAACGTGCAGATCACTCGGCCACCGGCCGGGAGGAGAGCAGCGACGCCAAGTGTGAAGGTTCTCCAGGAGAAGCAATAAAAGAGCAGAGAATCCGAAAAGGTCTATGGATCCGTATGACCTGGATCAATAGTTTGCTAACTCTTTCAGATCAATGACCGAATCAATGGACGAAAGTTCTGGAGCGAAAAAGTGGGCGAGTTCTAAAGTGAAGAATCTGTATATCACTGGTTTCGGGATGGCTCGGTACTGAAAAACCGCTTTCGGGGAAAAATGCTTGCAGAAGGACAATCAGCAGGAAATTGGCAGATGGTGGATTCCAAGGGTGTTGGAACTTCCGTGCCCCTTTGGATCACAAGAAAGCGTGACAGTAAGATTTTAAGTTAAGTGCTATCGTACAGTTTTCACGAATAAAATCTTAAAGCTGACGAAAAATCGTAGAAGAGGAAAACGCAGAAGAAGAACTCCGTGTGTGTTGGGACTTTCAAGACCCTTTGAATCGCAACAGAAAATGACAAAGTCAAATTTCCAGTTCCAAGTTATCCAAACACAGTCGCCTCACAAAGCTTTTAGGAGAAAAGCTCGAACGATGAAACACAACATGCACGCCGTGACCACAAAAGTCCTTACCTCAAGGGCAACGAACCAGATTCAGAAACTCTTGTAGGGAACTGGTAGGGTCGCAAAATATGTAGTATCCGTCCGGTCGTGGATTCCGGAGGCTTCCGTGTAAAGCTATTGTCTGTCATTTTTGCGTTCACACTATATTTGGAAGCGTATTCCAAATGGACATGGTCTAAAAACCTTGCTCTGTTTCAACAGTTACTGTAACGCGGTCATCTAGACAGAGCCCATTTAAGCGGAACCTGGGGAACCTTTGGCATACAGATTTCTCATCCTGTGCCCTACTCCTGGTGTACCTTGGATATTCTCACTGGCATTCATCTGTCGGTGGATTAGTCTTTTACTGTCTTGCTCATATCCCCGTGAATTCGTCCCAATATTTCTCCCATTTTTGCTGTAATGGTGGATTTATCATCGCATTCTGTCGTTTTTACTGTTATGGCATAGTAAACTCGGCATTTGCTTTTTTGTATACTTACGCTATTTTTGTACATTACACATAGCTCCTTAGGTGGATTGCAAGTGCGGGGAGTCTGACTACGGCAAAGTAATAATGGAAGGAATTCAGTGCGACTTACGTTTATTATGATATCCAAATAGTTGTTCAAGGATAGATCAATCTGCGATTTGTATTTTATGCTCGCCACTCTAATTTGAAGTGTATATGCTTCCACTGCGTTTGCCTAGCCGATATTAACTTTCGCGTAGTTCGCAAACAACAGTTGGATCCGCATTGGGACTCCTTGGCGGACTGCATGCATAGGTAGTATCCCTCCCGTCCGGGGTTCGAAGCTCTCCCGTGTCCAAATAGTATGACGGGACGTAATAGACTTTCGGAGATGCAACATAAAAAGATACCACGTAGACGGCTGGATGCTCAACCGCCCAGTAAGTGGCCGATCTAAGGAAGCAGCTAAAGTAGCATGGGAGAGGGAAGGAAAAGTGCTGGAGAGAAATAAGCGAATAAGGGTAACAGGAAGCAAAACCGATCGATCTCTTACCTGTTATGGTGTTACCATGACGCTCGCGGACTGGCTACACAGAAGCTCGTTGCTTCGGGAAATTTTGTGGTGACCTGGAGACCATAGGATTGTAGAAAGCAGAAGGAAAAATCCTTTGTCAGCTCCATCGTTCCCGATCATTGTGTGCAGGCCACGATTCGTTGCTAGGCGTTATTCCACAAGGGCCCGTGACAGCTACAGTGGAAGCTGCAAAGGTCCGTCGTACTCAAAAGGTAAGAATCTAACGTTCGCTAGAAACATTCCTCAGTCTGGGCATCGACCATATGCTTCGGTAAGTCGTTCCAATCGTTGACTACGCGAGTTGATAGAGCGAGAATAGGAGGAACCCGGAGCCTTCTGGGTTTAAACAGCTTCCAGTTGTGGCCTCGAGTTGAACTGTTTGCACTGAATTAAAAGAACGTATGTAAATAGTAATACGCGGAATTCGATCAACACCGAAAGCCGATCTCGAAACATCCAGCGACAAACCGGTCTATGGACAACCACTCCAATTACCAGGCTTGAACACTCCTCGCTACGACGCCCATTACGCTCAGCAGCTAGCCACGAGCATGCACCACAATAAATCGACCACAGTAGGGAACAGAACCGCGTCTTACGTCCCCAAAGATCTTCATCACTGCCTGTTTGTCTTCATTCACATTGATGGCAGACCACTCGAACGACCTTACGAAGGTCCATTCAAGGTCCTACAACATCAGGATGGCTACTTCGTCATCGGACGGCAAGCGCGAAACCGTCTCAACTGACCGTTTCAAAGTTGCTTACGTCGAACCAGAGTCGAAGGACGACCCCAGTCCCTCGTCCTCTGATGAATCGACCCAACCAATGGTGGAGGAAACGCCTGCAGACAGTGAGACCACAACCGGAAACCCGCCCCTTAAGCTCTCCGACTCCGCCACGACTAAAATGGTTACTAGGTTTGGTCGTCGAATTCACTGGCCAACACGTTTCTTAAAATGTTAGCTTACCATTTTGCTTCTAACAGCGTTTTCAAGTTTTCATTCGCGTTAGTACCCTCAGAAAACCGCACCAAATGTTTTGAAAACCAAAAAAGATCGCGAAAGGTTTTGAAAGAAAAAAACGGAGAAAATGTTTTGAAAACCGATAAAAAGTTGTTTCCTTGAGTTTTCACTGCCTGATCGGTACGTGCTTTCTCCGTTCGTTGCTGTCGCCTCTTCTGCATGCTTGACTGCCCCCGTTTCTTTCTCTTTTCATGTTGCGAACTCGATAACACTCAGTCATAGTCAAACATAAGTGATCGCATGCTACGAACGTTCTCCGCCTTTCCTCTTATCGGCACTGTAAGGGAAAACATGGGTGGGAGCCACCACCCATGGGTGGGAGGCAGATATACTTCGTCATTACTTATGAATGGAAGGATTTTGGTGAGTATTTTTGTTCGTCGCAATCAGCCGACAATTCAGATATGTCGACCAGCTGTCCGGAAAAGCACCAGACGGCCGTTTCGCCCTATTGGGGCTCAACAGTGGTGCGCATCCTTCGGTCCTCTGCGGAGGATCGAACCCGACTGCTAGTGGCTCTTGCCAACTAGCCCGCAGCTTATGCAACTGCGCCATGGAGGACGGTATCTGACTATCGTGAATTGTTAGCTAAATGCGATATAGCCCGACGCATCCTCCACTGCCATGCAGACACCTGCCATGCAGATGACAGCGGTCGGCCTTCCGGCGTCAGGACTTCCCGGTTATGGCAGCTATGAATCGACATAGCATTTTGTGGAATCCGTACGGGCGAATTGGTATTGGTATTGGTAACCGACGAACAAATATACTCACCAAAATCCTTCCATTCATAAGTAATACCAATTCGCCCGTACGGATTCCACAAAATGCTATGTCGATTCATAGCTGCCGTAACCCGGAAGTCCTGACGCCGGAAGGCCGACCGCTGTCATCTGCATGGCAGGTGCCTGCATGGCAGTGGAGGATGCGTCGGGCCATATCGCATTAAGCTAACAATTCACCATAGTCAGATACCGTCCTCCATGGCGCAGTTGCATAAGCTGCGGGCTAGTTGGCAAGAGCCACTAGCAGTCATGGGTTCGATCCTCCGCAGAGGACCGAGGGATGCGCACCACTGATGAGCCCCAATAGGGCGAAACGGCCGTCTGGTGCTTTTCCGGACAGCTGGTCGACATATCTGAATTGTCGGCTGATTGCGACGAACAAAAATACTTCGTCATCTGTGATTTCCTCAGACAGCCACGTTTCAGTGAAAGCAAGTATATCTGGACGAGATTTGTCTACGAGCAGACCCACCTTGCACATCTTGTTCCTCAGGCTACGCAAGTCACTAAGTACTACTTGGAGGGCTTCGGCACGACCAGCCCTGGGCCGTGCGCAAGTAGAATAGGTTATGGCAGGGCGGGAAAGGACCGCCGGCTGACCACCTGGAAACCCACCAATCGGAGACCTTACTCGCTAGCTGCACATCGTGCTCTTAGGTCTCTGATAGCTTCCTTTAACTTTAACCTATCCGCTAACGAAAGGGCTGGTTGCACACTAACGTTGCTACCTTTGAGCTTGAAGGCAACTCGCAGTAAGGCCCTGCGCTCTTCTGGGGTGGAGAGGACCACCCTAAGCAGACGGGGTCGAGGATTTGGTTGGCCAACCGGAACGTTCCCCAATCTGATGAGCTTCCTGACAGTAACGCCAGGGAAATCTGGTGGTAAAAGCCTGGTCACGCAAACTTTACGCCAACCAAGATTATCAAGCATGCGCTCGGTGGGAAGAGCGGCGTGGATTCAGTAACGTTTCTGAAAATCACACTGCTATCTGTGTAAGAATCGCCTCGACGCGGTGTATTTACTCCACATGCTCTACCATCCATGCCACATGGTTGTTTGACAGGAATCGGTGGGACCGAAGGCGACGGTACCTCTTGTCTCACTGAGGGAATTGCAACACCAGGTGGTGTTTCCAACTCAGACGCTTGGTTCTTGAGCATTTTATCACCTTCCGGTTTGGGGGCGGAGGGTTTACGCGCTTTCCTTACCCTCTTACGCTTACTCTTTAAAGGCTCAGGAGCGCGTGACTCGCCTTCCATTTGGAACGGGTCAACAATGGCGTCCGAGGCATCTGTGTCAGTTATATCCACGTGAACAGGAGCGTCCGGTGGGATGAACCCCTCGTCAACGGTTGGACTGTCAGCAGGACAGTCCGTTACAGCGTCCACATTCGCAATATTCAGGAATTTCATAATCAAACCCACTTTAAAGTTGAGCGAGGCAAGAGAGGCAAGCTCGGCTAATGCCTTCTCAACAACTAGGAATCTGCATGCTAGTGCTTTGAATTCAGCACATGTGAAAGCCAGGAGCTTCGCTCTTTGAGCGCAACAATCTGCACATCTAAACAGAAGGTTTTTACTGGATGATAGCAGATTCTACTGATTCGCTAGGAGGCCGGCACAACTTTTGTGATACCAACGAGAGCAAAACATCACACTGCATGCCACCAGATGTATCCGTTACTGGCCTTGAACAGGCAGAATTGCTGCAAGTTGCGTTTGACTCATCAAACGAGGACGCAAGGGTTCACCCACCTCGGATTTTCGCGAGACGACCATGTTTAAGTGGAAAACAGCGCAGAATTTAAAAACACGTATACAACCGTAAAACTACCACAATAAAAAGGCAAAACAAGGGGTAAATAAATATAATAAATCGCCAGCTGTACGCCGTAACGGTGCTTCGCTGCCACGCGACCACCACCAGTCGCGCGTGGGCGAAGTATACCGCGAGGACGCCCACCCCTACGCGGATTCGAACCGGTGACCTTATGGTTGCAAACCAGATGCGCATACCAATCGGCCACCGGCCGAAAACAAGGGGTAAAACGGGAACAACCGCAAAATTATTAATAAGCGTCAGGGAGACGCTTTGGCAAGACCACCATAGTCGATCCAAGATATCTTGGATCAGAGGAAATTGGACAATAGTCAGATTTCTTTTTTAGTGTTTATTCAAACACTGTTTTCCAGGTCATTTCAGAGTTCATGCAAGTCTTCGTACTTCGATTTTCTTTTCTCTACTTTGCTTCATGTATTGGTATTATTTTCTTAGTTAAAGTACACTTCCTTATTTTGTACCTTCGATTTCTCTTCCTATTACTTACTTCACGTGACTGCCGCAGGAAACGTGGGCATAAACTGGTTGGCCAGCGTGCGATATAGGTGTTCAGCTTTAGATCCATCAATAACTGAGCACTTTATCAATTCCTTGCTCAACGACTCACTCAAGATGGTACACTCACGGGATTCTCCTATCGTTCCAGTCTCACCCGGACTTAAACTTACGGTAAGGAAACGCAAAGGAAGTTCAAGTTCAAGTGGGACTGGAATTGTAGGATTATCCCGTGAGTGTTCCTTCTTCGGCGGGTCGTTGAACCAGGAGTTGGCGAACTTTGAAATACTGATGGACCTAAAACAAAGACCGCATCACACCCTGTCCA